TCTGGGAATTCCATTCCAGAGTCTCCCCACCCTCCCAGCCAGGAATTGCTTCCCAATATCCCATCCAGCCCCACACGCAGTTTGAAGCCATAATTCCAGCAAAGCCTCCAGCAAGATTTGATCTTCCAGCCACCACATCCCGAGTTCCAAAGCCCCAGGAACTTTCCCTCCTCACTTTTCCACAAGGTTTAACAAAGAACAACACACCCCTGCTCCAGCCAAAAGTGCTCCCAATTACTCCAAATCCAACACAATGATGGAATAAAGGTGCTTGGAACAACCTGGGATAGTGGAAAGTGTCCCAGCCCATGGCAGGGGTGGAACTGGTTTTAAGATCCATTCCAATCCAAACCCCTCTGGGATTCCATGATTCCCTTGTCCCATAGATACAGGTGGATCTTACCATGAAGCTCCTGGAATGTCCTTGGTTAGGAATCAGGGCCATGTGTCACACTCTAACCTGGAAATAATCTGTGAATTCCTGACTATGATTATTTTTCCGGGTAGAACAGCAGCACCAACACTTGGTCTGCTGATTTTTCCCTGGAATTCCTAGGAATGCTGATCCCCCTCCGTATCCTCAGGAGTTCAGCATCCCAAGGACACGGAATGTGCTCTTTGCTCTGCCATTTCCAGGGCTCTGAGTCACCACTGGGACTTCCATCATCTCCCACCCCACGGATTCCAAAACGCAGGAATGCTGAAGCAGAGCCACGGAGCAGAAAGGTAAGCGAGGGTTCAGCACGGCTCATCAAACTTGGGACCAAATTAGAGCAGTCAGCAGCAATATTCCAACATCCTTTTAAATCCATATTCCATTAATATTCCATTCTTATTCATGTTATATTCATCTAACTCCAAATCACAGCTGAAGTGTCCTTCATTTTAGTGGCTGTGCCACTCTCCTGAATCCATTAAATTTGGGAAGGAGCAGGAAAGGGAAAACGCCCCCCTGGGTGTTGTTATCACCAAGGAAAACACTGCTTTGAGAGGAGATCAAACCAATCAAGGGAAATAGCAAATATTCCTCTTCCAGTAAGTGAAAAATCTTATGGTTCGGGAGACATCCCATAATTATGAAATGTCACCTCCCTCCTTCCTGCAGGAATATTCATCCCAGCTCCTCCTGAAAGCTGCCTCCAGGGATTCCATCCATTAAAACTGTATCAACTTAGCATTGATTTTGTTTGTGACATTTGAGGAGAACTTGGCTGGGGATTGCACGTGGAAAGCGCTGTGTGGATCCTTCCCTGTGCCATTCCCGGCAAGGCACAGCCTGGAGCAAGGGAAGGTTCTCCAAGGAAAAGGTAAAACAACAAATCCGAGCACAACCCCCTCGTTCTGCTGCAGGAGTTGTGTGATCCCACAAGATTCCCTCTTTCCATGACAAATGGAAAAGTTCTCCTTTCTGTGTCTCCTTTCTTGGCTGTTCTTTTCCACCAGTTCCAGGTTTAGGTGGGATACTGGAAAGGAATTCCTGGCTGGGAGGGTGGGGAAGCCCTGGAATGGATTTCCCAGAGAAGAAGTGATCCAAAGTTCTGACCCAAAGGAATTCCAATGGAATTTGGGTGTTTTCTGAGCTTGGAAATTCCTCACTGGACTCACACTGGGAGGCTTGAGGACGATCTGGTGGTCCCTGAGCTGTGCTGTTAGACCGGGAAT